AATAATAAACTACAAAATTGCTAAGGTCAATTTTTTGGAAATAATTAAATAACAAAATATGTTTTTTACCTAAACATTAAAATAAATTAAAATAGAAATTWTTGTAGTTCTTATCCCTGTGAGTCTTATTACAAAACCAGAATTTTGATATCACCATAATTTCGGAAGTTATAGCAATGGGTAAATTCTCATAGGACTGTTTATTTATACTTTTTATGTAATTTTTTCCAAMTGAAATATTTCTCAGTAAAATTAAGTTTAAAGAACTAATCTTTGAAGTTTTCTTTCTATTTTTTAAATTTTTAAACAATCCATATAATGATTATAGTATAATCTAAAATAATTAAGCTATTTTCTTTCTGTGTTCAGAATATTCCTCCTTGGTTTAAATTAATTTGTCTGCATATCTTGTTTGCTTTTAAAAACAGCTAAGATCACCACATCTGCATTTATTGTCTTTTATTAAATGTTTGCAAATGTATAACATATTAACTACTAATAAGTGTGTTGACAATTTGCATTTGAGAGTTCTCACGTTAAGTTAGTTTTATTTAATGATTATAATATTGTCTGTTTTAAAAAAAAAAAATTGATTGTAATGTTTTGCACATTTACCTAAAACTTGTTTTATAATTAAAAAATCAAAGTTAAATTAAATAATTTATCAATTAACTAATATTAAAACTAAATTTATTTTCCATTTGCCAAATCACACTTGTAAGACGAAAACAATAACTACTGATGTGGCGTCTTTTTAAATAGTATGTTGATACAAACATTATCTGTATACAGGGGCGGAGTGGGAACAAAATTCAGGCCAGGAGATTGAAATTTATCCAGGCCACCCACCATTTACCAATTAAATTACCAAAAAAATTGTTCTCGCTATGCTCAAATTATATATTTCTATTAACCTATTTTAATACAATTAAATAAATACATTTCATTTTATTTATAATATTATTATACTCTTAATATTATAAAAGTATTTCAATCACAATCGCTATTTCGTTTAACTTCTAATGTGTTGTATTTATATACCACTAAATACCAGAAAATATTTAATCAATATAGTTTAATAGCAATATGAATAATTATGTATTGTGTTTTAATGGATCAGGTTTAGTTAATAATTAACAAATATATTTATAATAAAGAAGTATTTTATTAATTATGTTTTATAAACAATAACTATAACAAATTATTAATAATTATATAATAAGAAAGATATACATTTATAATAATAATTTTGATAATAGCTTAGATTTTTTACCAACTGCATTTATTATAATATTATTATCTATTTCCATCAGAATTTTATTCTCAATGGCCATTAGCATAAAAGACTCAAGATTTTCATTAGTCATTGAATTTCTTAACCTATTTTTCAAATACTTCAAGGTTGAAAATGGCCTTTCRCAAGTACGAAACAAATACATTTCATGCTTTCACAAAGCTAGTATTGAAAAATTTTATTTCGCTTACAAATGCATATTTTAAATAATTTATCATTTTATCAATATTTTTTCATAGACGTTTTTATCTATTTAATTATACAACCAAAATATTAAGTGCATATTTGGTGATTTTTTAGAGCTACAAGTCCTCTGCTCTATGGCAATGGGTAATGAAAATTAATATGTAACACAAATCACAATTGTATTAATATACCAAATAATAATATTAATTTCAAAGTTTTAATACAAAAACATTGTTGACATATTTACAAATTTTTTAAATAAAATCTAATATAAAATGATCGGGCCACCAGGCCATCTGGAAAATTCCCATTTCCAGACCGGCCACTCCGCCCCTGTCTGTATATAATTTATAGAGATGAACTATCATTTAAAGCTCGTATGTCATTTTGATATTTTTATTTATCTGTATGGTTATACCTACTCTATTCAGAATTAAAATGTACAGCTTTTTTGTACCACAACTAAGCATTAGGTCTTATTTGTTTATTAGTTTTTAATGATCATTATGCTTCATGTACTTAGGTAGTATAGACAGGTGTAGTGGATATTTTGGACTAAATTGAGGAGGTAGCTGTATTCTTTGGAAATATGTTTGAACATTGAATTGTTGTCTACTGCTTGTCTATTTTTATTTTGAGAATAGAGTATAGTTTTAACTAAGCCTATGTACTTTTATAATTTTAATATTTTTTTATTCATTCAAAATTGTAATATTTTAGGGTTTAGCTATGGCTACAGTAAGGTTTCGATTTGACGGACAAGCAATTAGTGAAGCTGATACACCATCATCACTAGAGATGGAAGAAGGTGATACAATTGAAGTCTATCAGCAACAAACTGGTGGTTTCGAATTGTCAGACTACTACTTATTATTTTTTACAATTTAAGTTTACATTTTATTTATAAATCACTCCTTAAATGTAAATCATCTTAGTTTAAAAAACCTCAATACCATACAATGTCTTTTATCTACAAAACTGGCAATATTTAAAAAATTGTTATAAATATTACAAATTTATAATCAACATGAACGATTTCAAGAATAAACTACATCAACCAGATAAGCATGAGGTGTATTGGACAGATTTTTAATGTTTAATGAATACTTTATATGTAAACAATTTAATTCATACTATTATTATTATTTTCATATTTCTCTAGCTTAATAATAAAATTTTGATATTATCAATGAGATTTTTTAGTCTGTTTTATTATTTTAAATGATTCGTTAAAATGTGTAAATGCTACTATCATAATTGTGATWATTAAAACAATATATTCAATCTGATTCTTAAAAGGTGTTCCACATATTGTATACATTTGGCTATGTTGAGCAGGAACATCATTCACACAATGAAAATCAAAATCTTCATTATAGTCTTCAATACATAAATATTTACGTTTTTTTAATTCCTAAAATAAAATAAAAATGATTTTTAAACAATGAAAATAAGGCTTGGAAGCTGAATTGTAAACATAATATATTTTTTTCTATTAAGAGAACATCTGCATTTATTATTTGCATATTGCAAGGGTAAATTTAACTATTGTCAAATTTTTAAACCAAGTGCACCACGTAAGTTTTTTGTTTTGCTTTTATTTTAAAGTCTGGTCATGACTGACGACATATATTTCAGAATTCTATAAAACCAATCTATGGTAGGTAATATAGGAAGATATAATAAAAGCAAATTATGTTTAAATAAATAGTTCCAAAACATTCTTTAATTCTAGCTTTGAGTTTTAACCAACTCATTTTAGGTATGTACTGTATCAAGAGTATGTTGTACCCGCATGTGTTATCCCCGTCTTACAAATGTGTTACACATCAGTTTTTACTCTCAACATACCTCATTTAGCTCCATTAGCTAAAAAACTAGAGTGAATTTACCTTTTATAAAATTTAAAAGTACGAGTATTATTTAGAAGGTCTTATGAGCTTTTTATTATATTTTAATTTTGAAGCAAGTTATAAGTATTTTAAGATATACAAACAAATTACAATTTTAAAATACTTATAACTTGCTTCAAAATTAAAATATAATAAAAATCCCAAGAGGTTGTCTAGATAGTGATCTTACCTTTAAATTTTATAAAACTTATAAGTTATTTATTAGTTCATTCAAGTTTTTAAACTAACCGAGCTAAATGTGATCGGCTTAACTTAAAATTTACTATGTTATGTACTTAGACAGAGACAACGCATGCWGGTATGACATCCTCTTAATTATTTTAACATGTTAATATAATAATAACTTAGTTGGTTTTAAAAATAAAAAGTGTTAAATGTCTTAATTTTCATAAATAAATAAACTATTTTGTCTAATTATAAATATTACGACTTAAAAATTTAAAATATGATGTAGACTTGTATAGTTACATAGTATTGCAAAAATAACATTATAATAGTATATGACTTTTTGTCTTACTTTTAGTTCAGGCATTTTTGGTATCATTATTGTAATTTCAAACCTTGATATATACTWACTGTTCCAAAAGATGATACTGTGATATTGCATGGGCCAATTTCTTCATGAGGTCCAATTGAAATTTCATTTTCTGGTTTCCCCCATATTGCGAAACACAAAAATGTTGCATAATACACAATCAAGTACATAATCATAGTGGATGKACGGTCAAACATTTTTCTAGGTTTGCGTTTCAAAATAGACAACATGATGTATAATGCTATTAAAAACATTGTTATTATGTCTGTTGGAACATTATACAGATCATGTAATGGGTGATATAGTACAGAAAAGCATAATATTCCACAGGGCGTACTAAGGAATATTGTTTTTAGAGAAGTTAAAATCTCTGTTCTGGATGTATATGTTTGGTTAAGATTTACACCTTTTTTGAAAAACCAAAAAACAAAACTTGCAGAAAACACCATATGAAAATAATAAGAAGTCCATGGTACCCAATACATTCGGTCCCCTATGTTAGGATCTGTATCATGCCAAGTCCAATGAATAAATTTTATACCCATTATATCATATGGTAAATCAATCAAAAATACATTTAATCCTACAGTAACTATAAAACCTGTTTTTGTTTTGTTTGTCCTGTACGCTACTTCAATTGCTATATAATAAAAAACAGGATCTGTAAAATTAAGAAAATATCTATAACACTAACTATACAGACTTAGAAATGCAATACTTACATAAGATAATGACATATAATGGAAGCCTATGTCGGAAGAACATAACTGGTGCAGTACTATGCCAAAAATTGTCTATTTCAGGCATGATATAACATATACTCTCAACAACCAAACCATGACAAATGATGGATAACCAAAGTTGAGGACGTCTTCCTCCATTAGTAAGTGCTAAAATAGTAATGATTAATTGGACGTTTTAGTTTTCACAAWTAATTTGTATGAATTCAGGTGTTCTTATATAATAAATAATATTTTATTATAAATGTACAATGATCATCTTCCGAGTTATAATAACTTTTACCTGCAGTTGGTATACTGACATTTGCTAATTTATTATCTAAATTACTAAATTTAATAAGACTTGCTACCAGTAAATAAATTAAATGATGCTATAATATAATATACCTAAATTATTTTTGTATCTTACCGTGTATAAGTGTTACTGCTCCACCTATAATAAATAACATCTGGACTAATAAATATGTAGGCTGATTTTTCCATAATTCCGGTATAGATTCAAATGATATAAACTGTTCCCAAACCTAAAATCATAGGTACATTTAATATTATGTAGATTCAGAGTACAAAAAATCTTATGTTGTTATCTTTTGTATTTTGGCATTAAGAAATAGGTTCAGTGTCGACATATTGTCATATGGATGATATTGAATTCTCATATTTTTATCAAATTAAAAGTTTAGAAAATTGTCTGGGTTTAATAAATGATGGGTTTTTAACGATATTTAATTTTTAAAGGAAGTGAGCAAGTAGATATATAAATAAATATATTTATAAGTAATATATATATATATAACAGTTTAAAAATGTTGACACATAGTAGGATAAATTGAATATCATAAAAAACCAGCTTTAACCAATGTAAAAACTAAGAGATATAAAAAAGTTTGACGATAAATAAATCGATTCAATCTAATAATATAAATTTTTCAGGTTGATTCTAGTGAACCTAAATGTCCTAAATGTTGTATATTATATTGCATGTGGCGGTGGYCGTGTAGGTCAAAGAACAAAACAGACAGTGCGTTGACATCCTGTTAAAGTGTAAAGTATATGTTTTATTACAATGGTAAAAATGTAGTTCTATTAATATTTTAACAAACATGTTCGTACGTCACTTAATTTTTCGATGGTCGCCATTTTATTCGAATAACTACAGCGCACAAGGCATTGATTTGTTGCTTTTATGGATAGGTATAGGTACTTTTATATTAATGTACTATCTATTATCTAAACTAAGTACATATTATTTTGAGACAATCTCGACCACAAACCTATTGAACAAAACGTGAAAAACTGATAAATGCTAAGTAGTATTCTGTATTTCAGTATAAATATGTGTAGGTAGTTTCTTTAAAGATTAAATAGTAATAAGTGCCTATACTATATAGCATAATATGCTACTTTTAGTAGTTAGGTACATAAAAAACCTATATATATAGGGTGTCCTACGTAGATCTGACAAATGAAATAACTTTTATTCTAATCAATATTTTTTTTTTTTTTAATTTCTTTTGAATATAATTCATGGACACTTGGGCTATATTTTTAGAGTAAATTTTTTATTTTTTAATACTGAAAATAAAAATTTAATTAATTCATTAAGTCAAATGGCTGATTTTTTACAATTTTTTTCGTTTATGTTAGAAATATTTTAATTTCAAAAGATGAGTTTATTGACCAAATCATATTATTATAATAAAATAGTAGATACAATAAAAAATTAATTAGATTGTAAAATGAACCTATAAAATGTTCATATAAAATATTTTTGAAATTAAAATGTTTCTAACATAAACTAGATCGTAATTTACTTAAAGAAAATATTAATATTTAAAAAAATTGTAAAAAATCAGCCAATTGAGCATTTGACTTAAATAAGTTTTTACCATATAAATTTTTCTGAAAATCAGATTTACAAATTGGCTATATTGAATATTTCGAAAAATATTTTTATCAATTTTTAAGTTTTTATTTTCAATATTAAAAAATAAAAACAAAAATGTATTCCAAAAATGTAGCGCAAGTGTCTATGAATAATTATATTAAACAGAAACTTTTAAAATCTATTGATAAGAACAAAAATTATTTCATTTGTTAGATCTTCGTGGGACACCCTGTATATTGTACTATAAACTATTGATAATTGTTATAACACAATGCTTGTTCTTGATAATTTAATTTTGATAAACAATAATTATACCTATGGCACATGTGGTGTATTATTACATAATAATATATTGTATAGGATTTAATTGTTAATAGTTAGGCATAGTATAGGTATCTTAAATTAAATTTATTAAATTTAAATTGACGGCTGACATTCAAAAGCGCTCATTTTGTCTATTGGTGAAAATAAAAATTTGGAAGGTTGTTAATTCAAAACCTCTGTGTAGCTCTGTTAGTTTAAAAGTTAGAATGAATTGACCTCTAATAAAATTTTAAGATAATAAATCTAGACAACCTCATAGGCTTTTGATCATATTTTAGTTTTGATGCGAGTTATGATAGTATTTTAAGATGTAAAAACTATTTACAGTTTTTAAATACTTATAACTCCCTTCAAAATTGAAAGCCTATGGAGGTTGTCTAGTTAATAATCTTATCTTTAAATGTTATTAGAGATCAATTCACTTTAAATTTTAAACTAATAGAGCTACATGTGTTCGGCTGAGCGTAAAATTTGCTGTGTTACCTACGCACTTATATAGACGGAGACGAAGACAACGCATGTGGGTATCACCTCCTCTTAAGGGGGTCGCAGCAGACGAATTTTTCAAGCGTTTTAGACCAATAAGCGGTAGTAAATTACACATACTTTGRAATGTCCGATTTTAATTTTTTATACATGTATGAACTCTTTGACAAAATATCTAGGTTATTTAGGAAGTCGATTTTCAATTTTCAATTTTAAAAGACCTTAAAATAACGATTTTTTTTTCAAAAATTCC